CTCCCAGGAGTGGCCAGCACTCTCTGCAGGTTGGTGGGGACAGCTACGCTGCTACCCTTTTCCACCTCTGCAAGGAACAGAGAGGCAGATCTGACCTTGACAGATGCAGGTTTGAATGAGGGTCTTCTTTCACACTTGGCTGCCCTTTCCCTTCCTCTTTTCTGCCTATGGAGGTCTCTATTAAGAAAAGACTCACTTTATCTGATGTTAAAGCGAAGAGTGCAATCTTTACATTTTTGTAAGCATTACATTTAGGCTGAGTAGAAAATAGGAAGAATCTGCATGTTTACAAGAACAGATAACCCAAAAGAAAGTATTTATTTTATTCAGACACTCTATTTTTAATATGTTGAGGGTTCTTCGTGCTGTTTTTTGTTTTTTACATGTGGGACTTCTTTGCGGGAGGAAGGCTTGTTTAGCACTGGTATAGAAGAATTCAATTTAAGAAGGTTATAGCTCAGCACAGACCAAGTAGCTAATGGGAAATAAAACAGTCCCTCAAGCTTTATAGCTGCCCCAAAGCCTAGGGATTCCTGAAAGCCAACTGCATCAGAGCCTCTGTGCCAGGCTACACTTTTATCTTCAGGACCCAGCCACATTGGTTCTGGTTTGCTGCACAGGGACAGCTAAAGGTGACCCTGCTGTCCAACACCGACCAGCCAGCTATGCTCTTTTCAGTTGGTCGCAGCTGGGCTTTCTGCTGGCTATGGGGAGCTGATATGAGGAAGCAGCTGCTTTGTTCAGTTACTGCAGTTGTTTCCTGAATCATCCTGAAAGAAAACTCCTGCATAAGCTCAGCAAAGTGCCCTCTCTTTTGCTGGTAGATACTGTGATATGCTTTTGAACTGTTCCTAGCACACCACCCTTTTCCCCATTATCTCCTGAGTGTCTTGATGGTTAAATAAGCCAAAAACTCGCCTTTTTGATCTGAGCTACAGTATATACAATGGGGTGCTGATGTAACGGGAAGAAATGATAGGCAAGGAGCACGCACAACGCATCATGCTTCTCTAGCTGTAAAAGGAACATCCTTAGAGGATGGATCTGCCACCAAGAACATTTATATTTGACTGAGTTTAAAACAGATGGTCTAGGTACAGCTCCAACATCACAGGCTGCAAAACGTACCCCAGCTTGTGCCAAAGTATCAAAGCAACCTGTCCACGATGTGCATGATCTTATTGTTGCTACACTAACACCAGTACCCAAGCCAGCATCAGCTAAGTAACCCAGGTATGACCACTGAAGGTGAAATTAAATGGCTAGATTAAAAAAGAAACAGGACAGAGGGAGCTGCCGGCTCCCAGTGACTGCAAGCATGTTAGCTAGGACAGGCACTAGGACCAAAGGCTCACTGTCTCTGTGAGCCCCTCGCTTGACTGCAGCCTAAGAGAAGAAACTGGAGAAAAAGCCCACATCCCATTTAGAGAGACCAAGGTAAAGCAACATTCAAAGAAATGTCATGGAGACTTTGAGTCAAAAGCCTGTATAGCTCAGGGCCGCGTCAGACAACCTGAGAAATCTCATTGTTCTAGCTAAAACCAAGTCACCAGGGTTGTGATTAACATTAGTCATAGGGTTCCTCTTGTCCATAAGTTCTTGGTGATGCCCGGCACATAGATGCAAAAATGGCAGGGATGCTCTGCTCATTCTTATAGTACCTCTTGAGGACTCTTCCATCCATGAAGACGACGAAGACTGGGGGGAGGCAAAAATAAATGTATCTTTTCTCTCTGCTAATATGAGACAGGACCTTTGAAGGCAGGTACAACTGTTATTGTTTTTAGCCTAGTTATTTGTTTAGAAGGCTCATCATTCAAATGGTGAGGACTGGAGGAAAAGGAGGAATGCTTCCTTCAAGCATGAGGCCATATTCTACTTCAAATCAGCTCACCTCACTGGCCATTTGCTGCCATTTGAATGAACAATGAGCATTTCTCCTGTTCTTGAAGTAAGGATGCCAATTAGCTTAACCAGTCAAAAATAAATACAACTCAATGCTCAAAGCTGGGAAATTATGTCTGGTTCTGAATTCAGCA